CGTGGACAAACTGGAGGGAGCCGAGAGAAGAGCAACAAAAGAGATACAGGGTTTAGAAACCCTGACTCATGAGAAAAGGTTAAACAACTGGGCATGGTTAGTCTTGATAAAAAACTAGGGGGAGGAGGGGGAAGAGAGACACCTGATAACGGTCTTCAAATATGTTAAGGGCTGTTAAAGAGAAGATGATGATCAATGATTCACCATATCCACTGAAGGTAGGACAAGTACTAATGGGCTTAATCTGTAGTAAGTGAGATTTAGGTTAGATTCGAGGGAAAAAAACTAACTATTAGAATAGTTAACACTGGCATAAGCTTCCAAGGAAGGCTGTGGAATCCCTGTCATTGGAGACGTAAGAACAGGTAGACAAACCAGTCAGTGCTGGTCTTGGTTTATTTGATCCTGCTGTGGCACAAGGAGCTGAACTACATGATCGCTCAAGGTCCCTTCCTTCCTTCCTTGCTTCCAGTCCTACTCTTCTAGGATTCCCTTTCGATGGATGGGGGACACTAGCTAATAACGAGCCTCCATTCAGTTAATGCACAATTCTGGAAGATAGGCACATCACCGAAGAGCCCAGTAATCACAGCAGAGGATCGAGCGTCACTTTCAAGAACACCTTTATATCCATCTATATACAGAACATGCAACTACGTAGGGATTCAGACAGCATCCCACCTAAAAATGGATTAGAACCATAAATGCACTCAGTACCTTTCTGTCCCCTCCAAAGGCCTAGAAACTACAGAGAGCATGATCTGGAGGAATGGACCACGTGGCTCTGACAGTAATTTGCTGTGTGACTCTGCATAAGACACTTCAGCCATTTCTGTTTCCTCACCTGTCAAAAGGGCTTACTATTACTTGCTTTGCCTACTGAACAGGTTTGTTCTGAAGGTTAATTAGTTGTTTGTGCAGTTCTTGGAACACATACTGCATTATATACATGCTAAGTACTATTAGTTATACAAAATGTAGTATCTTAAAACCCAGGAGAGTGCAGCTGAACTCCATGACTCTGCATTTAACTGTTGAGCAGAGAAGAGATTCTACAGCCCACTTAACAAATCTGCTTGAGTACTTCTATTTCCAGCCTTTATCAGCAGTTGTGCTAGTTCACACTTGACAGATTGATTGTGGCTCAAGAAGCTGAACTGCTCCAATGAAGAGTGAAATACCCAGTGGTTCTGAGTTCAGTCAAATCTTTTCCATTTAACATTTGCCATTTTGCTCGGGAGTGAGGTTCCCTGGATAGGGCTGGGATGCAAGTTTCCTTTCTAGCAACAGAGCATAAACACAAGAGGTTCTGTCAAACACCTGCCCTGGTATTAAGCCAACTTGGTAAGCCTGGGATCTAGTTACTAAATCCAAACTATTTGAGTTTCTGACATGGAGGGGCTCCCGTCTTCACAAGGCTGAGAAGCTTCTACTCAGTCTGAGAAACAAGCCAAGATTTTTTTATTTTTATACACATACAAAAAATAAAAATCAAATCCCACTGATCAAACTAAAACAGAACAGGATAAGAACATGTTTGTATAGGGGAGGAGAGGGCTGAAACTGAAAATGTCAGTTTCTAGATAAACAAGTGAGTTTATCAGCTTCCCTGGGACTTCCTCAGCCACTCTGTTCCTGCAGAACTCCTGTTAAACCCGAAGAGGACTGATTACTTATCCTCTGGAAGGATTAGCGGAACTGGCATTCAATAATCCCATGTAAGTATCTAATCAACTGTAATTTAATTACCAAAAAGTTTTAAAAGGTCAAAAAAAGGTCTCGCTGTGACATTACTTGAAAAACGATGATTCCACCTCTACTTAGGAGGCACCTGAGGAACACAAACCTTAAAAAAGTCCAAGAAAACATAACCCTGAAGTAGGTCATTCAAAATTTTCTGCATCAGATTACATTCTCCTACATATTGCTGCAATAGCATTAATGCTCAGCAAACAGACAGACTCAAAAGGTGCACAACACTTGCTGCCATTTCCATTCCAGCACAAATCAGCTGCCACCCTACCTAAAAACCTTCCATAATACAGCACCCAACACTGCTTCCGATCATGAGAATGAAAGATTACCCTGCCCCCTCATGTGAATGTTTTGGGATAACATTTTATGTACAATAGCAAAATGCTGTGCATTTTAGAATAGTCTAAACCTTGCTACACTGCATGGAGTCTCTTAACTGGTTAAAAAGCACATATGGATGCTCATAGAGTGACAGAACACATTCTCTTAAGACATTTCAAGCGGCTGTCAAGACCACAGTGAAAAGCTGATGAAGGCCCCAATTACTGTCAAGATTTCACCTAAACAGATTGACATTTTAAAGTCACATACACACAACTTGTGTCACTGATTTTAGCATAAGACCAATTAGGACCACAGAAAGCAAAAAGACAGATATGAAAGTCAGCCAGGAAATATTGTCAAAACTGTCCTCATCTGTATCCCCACATGTAGTGTTACTGCACAGGATGAGTGCCTATGTAATTATTCTTTAGCTAGCCACAACAAACTTTGCAGCCCTTTCTTCCAACTTTGTTTGAATGGAAAGAACTCTCTTAAGAATCAAGACACACCCGTGAGACAGAAAACACTTTAAACCTGCATTGGTTTTAGTAAGTTAACCAGACAGATGGTGCAACCATCAAGAAATCTCAAAAAGAGACCAATTCATTATTGTTTAAAGGTGTTTTTCCAAATCTTCCATATCATGTTTCATCAACTGGACAACTATAAATTCTTAACATACAAGCCACTCACTCCCACTGCCCAAACCTATTTCCAAGTGCTCTTGAGAGAAGTCATTCCTAAAAAATGACACTGGTTTTTTCCTCTGGTCTTCAAAAGGACAGTTAAGTATCTAATTTTCAAAATGGTTTGCTTCATCATTTGGCAAGATGGAAACCCAAAATAGGTTTAACAGCAATCTCTCCATTGCAGACACAAATTTGTTATTGGAAGGCTGTAATACATGAGTGTTGGCAGCTTATTCTTGTTATTGAAGTTAAGAGATTGGAAACAGTACTTTTAAAACAAAGTATATGTAATTTTTCATGTGTGTGTTTTAAGTAGGTAAAAAGGAGAGTCGGGCCCTATTTTGGATCTATGAACCTTAGTCAGAGCCTCAGGCCACAGGCTAAGGCTTTCATTGCCCTGTAGCTCTGTGCACATGGCGATTTTGTGCTCAGCAAACTGGTGTGCTGCAGATTCACACCTTGACTTGTTACATACTAACCTACTGTGTAGACAAGCCCATAAAGTATAAGGTCAGAAGAGACCAACAGATCATCTAGTCCAGTGATTCTCAAACTTTTGTACTGGTAACTCCTTTCACATAGCAAGCCTCTGAGTGCGACCCCCCCACTTATAAATTAAAAACATTTTTTAATACATTTAACACCATTATAAATGCTGGATGCAAAGTGGGGTCTGGGGTGGGGGTTGACAGCTCGCTACCCCCCAATTAAATAACCGGTCACATAAACACCACCCTATACCGGAAACCTACTGACCGCTATACGTACCTACATGCCTCCAGCTTCCATCCAAGACGCATCACACGATCCATTGTCTACAGCCAAGCCGTAAGATACAACCCAATTTGCTCCAACCCCTCAGACGGAGACAAACACCTACAGGATCTTTATCAAGCATTCATAAAACTGCAATACCCACCTGGGGAAGTGAGGAAACGGATTGACAGAGCAAGACAGGTACCCAGAAATCACCTACTACAGGACAAGCCCAACAAGGACAATAACAGAACACCACTGGCCATCACATACAGCCCCCAGCTAAAACCTCTCCAGCGCATTATCCACGATCTACAACCTATCCTGGAAAATGATCCCTCACTCTCACAGACCTTGGGAGGCAGGCCAGTCCTCGCTTACGGACAACCCCCCAACCTGAAGCAAATACTCACCAGCAACTACACGCCACACCACAGAAACACCAACCCAGGAACCTATCCCTGTAGCAAACCTCGTTGCCTACTCTGTCCCCATATCTACTCTGGCAACAGCATCAGAGGACCCAACCACATCAGCCACACCATCAGGGGCTCATTCACCTGCACATCCACTAATGTTATATATGCCATCATGTGCCAGCAATGCCCCTCTGCCATGTACATTGGCCAAACCGGACAGTCCCTCCGCAAAAGAATAAATGGACACAAATCGGACATCAGGAATGGTAACATACATAAGCCAGTAAGTGAACACTTCAATCTCCCTGGTCATTCTATTACAGATTTAAAAGTCACTATCATTGAACAAAAAAACTTCAGAAACAGACTTCAAAGAGAAACAGCAGAACTAAAATTCATTTGCAAATTCAACACCATTAATCTGGGCTTGAATAGGGACTGGCTGGCTCATTACAGAAGCAGCTTTTCCTCTCCTGGAATTGACACCTCCTCATCTATTATTGGGAGTGGACTACATCCACCCTGATTGAATTGGCCTAGTCAACACTGGTTCTCCACTTGCGAAGTAACTCCCTGCTCTCCATGTGTCAGTATATAATGCCTGCATCTGTAACTTTCACTCTATGCATCCGAAGAAGTGAGGTTTTTACTCATGAAAGCTTATGCCCAAATAAATCTGTTAGTCTTTAAGGTGCCACCAGACTCCTTGTTGTTTAAATAACCTCGGGATCCCCGGAGGGGTCCCGACCCCCAGTTTGAGAACCCCTGATCTAGTCTGACCTTCTGCATATCACAAGCCACTAAACCGCACTCAGTTACCCTTGTATTGATACCAATCACCAGACTAAACTAAAGAACTGACGGATTCCTTTTAGGAGAATCCTCAAGCCACGACAATCACAGGAAGTCTGAGTACAGTTGCGTATGATGAAAACAGATTTGCAAGCTGCAGACAGGATAGCAAGCCAACTAGTCAGCGAGTCACAGCAGAAAAGACACCTTCAATTTTGTTTTCAACAGGGTCAAAGAAAAGGTGGGTGCTGCCGCACGCCGTTACCTTCTTGAAGAGTCGCCCAGAGTCTTCGCTGACTTGGACAAACCGAGGGATGATATTGTTTAGGTAGATGTCACTCAGAGTCGTGTGGTCCCTGCTCTCTCGCTTCACCTGGTTTAAGAGGAGATTCCAACAGTTGACTGGAGACAGGACATTCTGATCCTTCCTGCAGGGAATGCAAAATGGAAACAATGTGGGGGACAGGACTTTAGGTCAAGCAGGCTAAATCATTCACTTGAACACACATTCTATAGTTCCACACCAGAAGTGTAGCTACTCTAACATACCATATGTAGCTCCTGAGGATCGTGTCTTCTAAAAGGTGTAGGGGAACTCGGATACCCATGACAGGGAGAGAGAGCGCTACAGACTGAGCGACTGTGCAAGCTTTATCCATAGACTTGTTTCTTGTCTACAGTGTAAGCAGATTTCAAATATCCAATCATTTAGGCACCATCCACACTGGCACCAGAATAATGCTACCCACTGCACAAAGTTTAAACAAAGCTGCCGGTAGCCAGCAGCCAGATTCTAGCAACATTTCCTCTGTCAAACGTGGATAGAGATAGTTTTCTTAGACACATTCAACAGGTGTGTTCCTCTTCAGTAGCCCTTACAGAGTTATAACATGCTTCTCACTCCAAAATGAGTAAGTGCTCTGTCCATGATGGGCAGGTGACCTGTATAAGAACCCTAGCAGCAACAATAATGTTTCAAGTGTTAGTAAACTAGCAGAGGTCTGTCCCTAGCATGAACATAGAAGAAAATAAAAGCCACCAAATATAATGAAGCTTTTGCACTAGTAAAATTTCATTTAAATAAAAAGTGTTCTGGACCGATTCTGTATTCAGGAAGTCTGAAGCCTCTCATAATACTGTAACAAAGCCAAGCTGGTTGCACAGAACAGTAAATGATTATTGCTTACCTTACCCTAATTCAACAAAAAATTCAGCACCTCCCAGGTCATTGCCCTCACCTGGACAAATAATGTTCTGACTGAATCTTTATTTCCAGAAGCAGAGAGCAGAACATGTTATGCCTGGTTTACAGTGATTCTGAGATATAGCAGATGCTGCTTCTTTGATCATCTCCCTCTCAACCCTCACACAAAAGTGTTTGCTCTCCGTCCTACAGCCCACTTCAATTTCTGTAACTACAAACTAGAGAGGAGATCCTATATTCTTCAATTTCAGCATGAGGAAATGCATTTCAAGCATTCCCCTCCCCCCCCCCCCACACACACTTTTTGTAGCTGAATCTTCAGCAAAGTTACACTCCTCCTCCCTCTTTCTCCTTAAAATGTCTAAACTTGAGGATCTACTCTAAGCCAATACAATGAAATACCAAGACCCCCAAAAACCCTGAAACATTTTCTTAACCCATCTCTCCCCATGAGAATTTGGATGTGGTAATCAGCTTTATTTTAACACTATACTGTGTGACTTTTTATTTTGGTAAATGAAATGGTTTGTAGTATAAATTCAATATTTATACATATTTTAAAAGATATTAACTTAATGTGCAACCAAGGCTTTATCAACAGTCAGATAACTACCCTGACTTACACACAATGAAATCAGTGTGGGTGCATGTGGACATAAGTCAGGGGAGAATGTGGTTTAAAAAAGTCACTTGGCTGTTTTCTTGAAAAGTGGATAAATAGCCTAAAAGGCTAACTTTATCCACAGTGCAAATACTTATATTTAAGCAAAGATTCAGTATGGCATCTGCCTTTAAAGATTCTGTTTTACTACATGTGTCATTTCATAAAGAATTACTTTAGGGATGTTGGGGTTTTTTTTGTTTGATTTATTTCCAATCAATAACAACCCACTGGGAGAGAGAAGGTACAGCCACTATATGCATTTCTGAGATACTTTTATACATACTTCCATTGCATTTAAACCTACTGTGACCAATAGAGTAACCACACCTCTAAAATTTATCAGGGAGGTGCATGATCCTTGAGAACATGACCTATGAAGGAAGGCTGAAAGAATTGGGTTTGTTTAGTTTGGAAAAGAGAAGACTGAGAGGGGACATGATAGCAGTTTTCAGGTATCTAAAAGGGTGTCATAAGGAGGAGGGAGAAAACTTGTTCACCTTAGCCTCTGAGGATAGAACAAGAAGCAATGGGCTTAAACTGCAGCAAGGGAGGTCTAGGTTGGACATTAGGAAAAAGTTCCGAACTGTCAGGGTGGTTAAACACTGGAATAAATTGCCTAGGGAGGTTGTGGAATCTCCATCTCTGGAGATATTTAAGAGTAGGTTAGATAAATGTCTATCAGGGATGGTCTAGACAGTATTTGGTCCTGCCATGCGGGCTGGGGACTGGACTCGATGACCTCTCGAGGTCCCTTCCAGTCCTAGAATCTATGAATCTATATCATGTAAGATCTGAGAGACCCAAGAAATTCATGACTCAGCATAAACTGAGGTACATGCAAAAAACAGTACTCCGTATTTCACCGAATATTGCATCTGAAACTCAGTCTTGAAACCCTACTCTTACAGAAAGTACTTTATGCTACCCTTATGCTTTACTACTATTCAACTTCATGTGATCATCCATGACCTCAATGCAGTTTAAAACAATCCAGTTTAGGAGGAAAAACTGAATGAGGTTATGAAAAAAGACTAATTTTTAGTGCCAACATAAAATAAGGAGGACAACATCCTTGTCTCACTGCAGAGACAATAAAAGTGACAAGCCGCATAATTTAAGTATAAGGTTTTAAGAAACATTTCAGAATCAAGCCAAGAGCTAAGCAGTAATTTTCTACAGTACCTGAGGGATTCTGCAGTACTGTTTTGGGTTGGTGGAGACTAGACCTGTTAGCTTGGCTGGAATACTTAATTTCCCTTATATCTGTTGATCATTTGTTTACACATGTTCTTTTTTCCTATGTTATGTAATTCTTGGAAGAGACAAAATTTAAAATATTCTAAAAAGCCATGCTATGGCAAGAATGTGTCAAACAGCTGCGAAATTGCCTGAAAAGCTCATCTCTACTAAAACAAAGATGAAAAATCCATATGAAGTTTTTCTTACCAACGTGTCCAAATTAAACCAACTGATCTTTAGGCAGAAAACCAGAAAGGCATTCGATAGGACTGTGTGTGTTAAAGATCACAGAAAAGTTTGGCAAAAGAGCCGATCTCACTGGTTTACTGACAGGCTGTTCTAAAAGTACAGCAGTATGGTTTGGAATGCATTTGTCAATTTACCCGTCTTTGTGTGATCAAGCGGCACTACAGGGTCTGTTCTGATTAAGAAGAAAAGCCTTCAGATTTCACACTCCACAGTTTCTTTAACACAGAAACAGCTACATCATCCTCACCCGGGCCTTTGAACAAAATCTGAATTGGGGGGAGTGGGGGGAGGGGAGGAGTGACATGTGCATCATTTAATAGGGGTTTATAATGAAGTAATGCACTCATGTTTTAAAGCAAGATTAAACATTCACAAAGAATTAAAATTACTACCACATATCACAAATTGTTGGGTACTGATGGTTGGTAATCCTCCTCAGGGTTCCTAATGGAAATAGTCACATAAAAGGAAATGAATAGTTCTTCTGTCATCTGCTAGTAGCTATTCAGCTACTGGAAACCTCTCATTGGAAAAAGAAAAATAGCCAAATCATTGAGGAATGGTAAAAAACATATGGGAGATTGTGGTTATAGAAAAATTAACACACCAGTTACATATCCAGCAAAATAGATAGAGGACAGATACATGGATATTTGGTTACCTTTTATTCAATACTCAAAGTGCATTCGCCTGCAAAAAACAGCACCAATTTTTCTAAATATAAATATTTGATAGACATACCTGATCTGTTAAACATGTGCATATGGAGATCCCGGTAAAGTGATTTTTATTAGATTAAGATGAGCTTTGGCTTTACACCAGAGATGTAAGAGTTGTCAAGCAGTAACTGAAGTAAAATTAGATCAGACTCCATCCCTCTGCAAGACTAAGATGCAGTCCCCACAAACACCATGCATATCCTTCATTAGATGGATAGCAACCTCCCCATGGCAAAACAGATTTCTCGCTGATGTTCCTAAGATGTGCAAAAAGAAGCCAGTCAGAGACTCTAGCCAGTGGGAGCAAAAGCAGCCAAAGCAGGGACCTCTGGACATTGAGAACTTGCTACAGTTTTGATTTGGACTTTCTCTAGCCTGTGCTGATGGCCTGTTTGCTCCACTCCTCTCCTTCCACCTCCCTCGATTCTTCGCTTCAGTTTCACTCCACAACTGCCCCTTTTATCCTCTCCTCCCCTGACCAGCTGCCCTGTCCCCCTCACTCTCCATTTAGTTTATCCACACACAAAAAACAACTCCAAACCGAACAAAAACCCTACAAACCTGGAAATAACTTGGTGCTATTGCATTTTTTACATTCCTTGTGTGTTACACCCATTCCCCTACCCTGTCTATTTAGATTGTAAGCTTGTCAAATCAGGAAAAATCTACTGTTCTGTTTGTACAGTGCCTGGAATAATGGGGCTCCAATACCCGTCAGTCCTTAAGCACTACTGTAATAAACATGATTAATACTAAAACAAGCCTCTGTAGGCTTCCATTGTGCTACCCATAGTAGCAAAGGTTGGATCTACAATACAAAGTAGATAAGTTTTAAACAGAAAAATAGTTTCAAAGCAGCTGATCTGGATGTTTGTTTCTTACCCTTAAAAACATACCACAGGAAATGACTGAAGCTTGTGATCTGGATTGTTTCAAGGTCTGGAGTATAAGGAAGGGGGCTGGAGATATTCTAGGCTAGTGATTTTCTCCTACTGCTTTGATTTAAAAAAAAAATCTAGGGTGACAGCACAGATTATTTTATTTAAAAGAGAATATTAGGCTTTGTAGTTTATGTACTACACTGTATATACTGCTGACAGACAAAAGCAGACAGAATTATCACAATGCAGTACTGAAGACAGGGCTGCCCAGAGGATTCAGGGGGCCTGGGGGCTTCGGCGGCAGGGGGCCCCCGCTGCCGAATTGCCGCCGAAGACCCAGCACTTCGGCGGCGGGACCCGGGGCAGAAGGACCCCCCGATGCGGGTCTTCAGGGCACTTCGGCGGCAGGTCCTGGAGCAGAAGGACCCCCTGCCGCTGAAGACCAGAGCGGAAGCAGCTCTGGGGGTCCGGG